GTATTATGCAATATGCACACTAGACACAGTTACATGTAGTTTAAGACATTAGTTTGTATTAATATATTAGATTAGTGATGATGGAGGAATAATATTAAAGCAGTGGTTAAAAAGTTAGTTTGCTAGAGAAAACATCATATGAAAGTCTACAAGTTGTTTCATAAGTTTCGCTAATGTTGCAGGGATCAGGATTTCAGCAAATCAGGATTTGGCCCACGGACAGTAATAATTTGTGATCAGGTATTGTTTTGTTAGCATTGAATAATATAATATCTGTCGTTTTTACTCTTTTGTGAGTTCTCAGTAAGGTCGAGCATTGAAGAAGTTTTCCATTGCTTTTTGTAGTGTGAGAAGGAGTATCATGTTGGATGTTTGAAGGAGCACAACATAGATGACTTGCAGGTTTGCAGAATTTCATGTTCTATTGCATGTTTTTCTATTTCTAGTATATCTCCTATGTCCTTTCTGTTGTATAATTAGATTGTTTAACCTTGCACATATTTACACATACTGATCGCTAGTCAACGTTTTGAAACCCTCCTCAATTCAGGAATTGCCAAAAGATAAATGGTTTTGCTGCACAGATTGCAGTAGAATTCATTTTGCTCTGGAAAAGGTGGTATCAGATGGAGAACAGAACATTCCTGAGTCTCTGTTGAAAGTCTTGAAGGAAAAGAATGAAGGAAAAGGTTCAGTGAATAACTCCAGTCTTGACATTAAATGGCGTCTGCTAAGTGGGAAAATGTCATCCGAAGAGACAAGGGTCTGGCTTTCTAGTGCTGTTTCAATTTTCCATGTGAGTTTCTTTTCCTAGTTTATTTCCTACTGTGCTTGTGACTCGGTAGAGGACCAGCCTAACCTCTAGGAGACCTGCTAAACATTCCTAATTGCAAATTGTTCATCTCTAAGAACTCATTTTCTATGAAATTGGAGACTGCTTAACTATCTTTTCCCAATGCATTCCTCTTCTATTTTCTATATGCGTTCATACATTTACATGAATACTATACTTTTATGTGCTTTAAGTTAGTTCCTACCTCTTTAGAAAGCAAACCAAGCTCCTTGATTTTTGGATCTCTAACCTTTTTAAAATCAGAGATAATTGGAGACCATTCCTGTTCTTAGGGTCCATGCTTTGCTTTAACATGCCTATATTTTAATATTAATTCACTTCTGGTCATACTAATGTAATGATCTGTTTTCTTTTTTACTTCCCCACTCTAAGCTTTATGAAGCTTTTGTGTCTCCCCCTCCCCTGAAAGTGTTTTATGATTAATAATTCAAATAATCTGTTAAGAGTGTTAGGTTAGGTTAGTGAGAAGAGGTCACTTTCTTTCTTAGTAAGAGGTTCGTTTTGACACCCGCAGATACTTTAAGCTCTCAGATTTTCCAATACCAGTTTCTCATCACAATTTGGTACTGTGTTGGCCCATTGCCTTGATCAATTGGAGCCTTCTTGGGGTTGGGGTTGATGGTCGGAATAGGAGCGTCACAAGTGATAGTTTAGATGAGGGTGGTTTTACATCCCTTAGTCTGGGATTTCGTTACATCTGTTTCTCTCTTTCAGGTATAGAATTCTAACCAGCTAGCTCGCAACTCAGCCTGCCACAGCTATCATTGCCCAACTTGATGATTAGTTGTTTTGTGTTTCAGGAGTTCCCCTTTATTTTGTATATGGATTAAGGCAAGTTTGGCCCTTCTCAAAAAAAGAATGTCAAGTTTGGTGATTAGGCAATGATTTTGAAAGAACTAATATCATAACTACAATCATTTTTTTAATAACGGTTGTGTTTGGACCATTTTGTGTGCCCAACTATTGCACTGGGTACTTGCTACCGCCCGGCGCCCACTAATAGCTACTATCTAACTCCTAATTCGTAAAGCAAATGAAGTGTTATAAATCCTATTCATTATGCCCCGAGTAAAGTCTGATGGGGATTAGAATCCCAGATTATCATATCCGCGAACAAAACTGCCTTTGTGTATTTGCAGTTAACTTAAACAAATTCCAGTTGTATTGTAATCTTGTTACCTATCTGCTAATACAGTTCTTATGTAGATAATTGTCATGCTAATTAGTGATGCTTACTGTGTATATATATGTGAATTTGATTATCTGTTCTTTGCCTTGTGGAATAGGAACAATTTGACCCAATTGCTGATGCAAGTACTAGCCGTCTAGATTTGATCCCACACATGGTCTATGGGTAAGTAATAACTTTTTTCTATTCATTTGATCTCTCAGTTCTTGTGAATACTCTCTTGTTTGGTACAAATAACATCCCTCACTCTATTTTACATATCATGATGTTCAGAAGGAGTTTCAAGGACCAAGACTATGGAGGGATGTTCTGTGCAATATTATTGGTCAAGTAAGAAACCACTTCACCAGTGTTCCATACAAGTCTTCGGTAAGATGGTAACCCATACTGATTCTCTTTCCACTTTGCAGTTCATTGGTTGTTTCTGCTGGGATTTTCCGTGTTTTTGGGAAGGAAGTGGCTGAACTCCCTTTAGTTGCTACAAGTACTAATTGTCAAGGACAGGTAGCTCAATTTTAAGCTTACAATGTGTCTGATTTCAGTTTACCCTTACCTTGTGAGGATATACCTAGTCTTTTCCATTTTGTTAACTAAACATTTTGTTTTTCCTGCCCAGGGTTACTTTCAATCTCTGTTTTCTTGTGTGGAGAACCTTTTGCAGTCTCTGAAAGTAGAAAACCTTGTACTTCCGTCCGCAGAAGAAGCAGAGGCGATCTGGACAAATAGATTTAGCTTTACAAAGATCCCTGAAGAACAGGTAATTTGATATTGACATAAGTACGTGCATGCATTCCATCGACCCCTTTTCTAGAGTTTCTGTTGTTAACCCATGCATCAATCTCTTTGCAGATGAAGCAGTATCGAAAAAATTATCAGATGATGGTTTTCTCTGGAACATCCATGCTGCAGAAGCAAGTGGGGGGCTCTCAGCGTGATGAAGACAATTTTACTTTAGGAGATGCATGATTTGTTGTGCAGATATTTTGTGGAAAATGGTTTTGATTTTTCTGTCAGACAAGGGATGTACAGTGGCTGGCTCTAGTTTCAGTTTTGGTGGTATATATGGGGAATAGCGTAGTCATCATATGTTAGTTACCCTGTGAATGTTACATCAGTTGTTAGTAGGAGCTATGGTTCAGAAACGTTGGATTATCTCAGTTGTGGAAGTTGGTAAACTGTGAAGTTCAGCAGGATTTAGATATAGCGTGCTGTCTTGTTTATCTTATATGGGAACGAGAATATTCAGTGCTGCTGTAAAATGGCTCCATTTTTGCTACATTAACAATTGAAAAGTAGCCTTAGTTTATTACTGCATTTGATTTGTTATTTTAATCATTATCAGCACTCTTCCCTCTTCAACAACATACCCAGCGAGATCCAACAACGGGTATGGGGAGTGTGGGTGTTGTTATTTTTATCAACACTCTTTCCTCTTCAACAACATACCCAACGAGATCCATCAACGGGTTTGAGGATGGTGGGTGTTGTTATTTTAGTCATTATCAACACTCTTTCCTCTTCAACGACAACATACCCTGAGAGATCCAACAAAGGGTATGGAGGAGGGTGGGTGTTCATAGATAAGCCCTATCGTTGTGCGGTAGAGTCCTCGTGGTGGGGTATGTGGAGGGTGGGTGTTGTTATTTTAATCATCATCAACGCTCTTTCCTCTTCAACAACATACCCAGCGAGATCCAACAACGGGTATGAGAGGGTGGGTGTTGTTATTTTAATTATTATCAACACTCTTTCCTCTTCAACAACAACATATCTAGTGAGATCCATCAATGGGTTTGAGGAGGGTGGGTGGGTGTAGTTATTTTAATCATCATCAACGCTCTTTCCTCTTCAACAACATACCCAGCGAGATCCAACAACGGGTATGAGAGGGTGGGTGTTGTTATTTTAATTATTATCAACACTCTTTCCTCTTCAACAACAACATATCTAGTGAGATCCATCAATGGGTTTGAGGAGGGTGGGTGGGTGTAGTTATTTTAATCATTATCAACACTCTTTCATCTTCAACGACAACATACCCTGCGAGATCCAACAAAGGGTATGCGGAGGGTGGGTGTTCATAGATCCTTATCCTATCTTTGTGGTGTAGAGTCGTTGTGGTGGGGTATGAGGAGAACCAATGTACATAGACTTTATCATTATCCATGTGTAATAGATGGATGTTTTCGATAGACCCTTGGCTCAGGTATAACTTTATCATTTCCCTTGGCTCAAGGGTGAACCAACACTCTGCTTGAGTAGGAGTAACTTTTCCAATTATTATCCCCGCTCCACACACACAAAAAAAAATTAATCATTTCAAACTGATTTAGAACTTCGATTTTGTTTCTCCAAAAACCAAATTTAAGTCAATTCTTCTCAAATAGTAAACCATAAAACTAGTTGAAAACCAAAAAAGAAAAAAGAAGAAAAAGGTTGCTCCTATTAAATGCCAGTGCTTTGTCTAGGGCTAGTAAGACTCATTAGAGAAGGATAAAGATCTTTTGATTTCATGGATAACATGAACGTCTTACCCTTTTATTCTCTCTTTACACGAGTCAATTATGAAGCGTGGAAGAGAAATTACCTAATTCAAAATATAAATCATAAAAAGAAAATACTTATTATATAATTACAAATATAATTTATTCAAATCATCACTTATTAATGTAAGTAGGTAGATTATTATAAATTTACTTTTTAGTAAATAACTCTAATTTTCTATATTGCAAAAAAAAAAAAAAACAATTAAGAACCTAGAAATTCCACGTGTAATGGAAACATCTAGAACTATTTCAACTGAGCGGGAAAAATCATTCAAAATTCAAAATTTAAAAATGTGCCGTTATTCCCTTTTTAATCATTTAAAAACTTCTAAATGAGGTAAAACAATTTTGGTTATTTATTAATTCAAACAAATTCGCCTAAATTTCTGAATAAAGCACTCCATATTCCTCCCTTTTCCCCCATTCATTTCCCATCCATTTCTCTTTTTTTCGTCTCCATTTCTCCGATCGGCACAACACAAAGGTAAACGTTTCTGCCAAATTCATCAATTTTAATGAACCTGCTTTCTCCAGTCAATACGGATCTGTTTAATTCAGTTTTTTTTTTGCTGATGAATTTGTTTTTTTTTTCCAGTTGTTTTTGAACTGAAAAATGGGGCAGATCCAGTATTCTGAGAAGTATTTTGATGATACCTATGAGTACAGGTATTCTGTTTGCTTAATCGGTTTGAATGTATTCTGTTTGCTTAATCAGTTTGAATTTCTAGTGTTTTTTGTTTGTTTTTTCAATTAATTCGTAGTTTTTTTTGTTTTTGCTGGATTTTGCAGGCATGTTGTTCTTCCTCCTGATGTAGCGAAATTGCTTCCTAAGAATCGTCTTCTATCTGAGGTGAGTGATCGGTTTTACTTCTTAGGGTTTTTGTATGTATTCATTTTCACGTAGTTGAACTAGCAGATTAAAATTAGTGATATTTTATGCATTCATTTAGGAGTTTCTTCGATTGAAATGATTAGTTGATTGTGCTAATCAAAGTAAGGGATAATCGTGCTTAGCAAATGATAATCAGTGATATTTTGAGTTTTCATTTCGGAAATTCTTTGATTGAAATGATTAGTGGAATGTGCTAATGAAAATAAGTGATAATTGTGCCTAGAAAATGATTATCAGTGATATTTTGTGCTTTGATTTTGGAATTTCTTCGATTGAGATGGCTAATGGAATGTTCTCATGTAAATTAGTGATAATTGTTCCTAGCATGTGATAAGTAGTGATATTTTGTGTTCTCATTTTGGAATTTTTTTCAATTGAAATGATTTGTTGAATGTGCTAATCCAAATAAGTGATAACAAGCCTAGCAAATGAAATCAGTCATATCTTGTGCTTTCATTTTGGAACTTTTTGAATGAAATGATTAGTCGAATGTGCTGATCAAAATGAGTGATATGGTGCCTAGCAAGTGATAATCAGTGACATTTTGTTCTTTCATTTCAGAATTTCTTCTACTGAAATGTTTAGTTGATAGTGCTAATAATCAACATAAGAGATAACATGCCTAACAAGTGATAATCGGTGATATTTTGTGCTTTTGTTTTGGAATTTCTTCTACTGAAATGATTAGTTGAATGTGCAAAACAAATGGTAATCAGTGATATTTTGTGCTCTAATTTTTGGAATATCTTCAGTTGAGATGATTAGTTGAATGTGCTAATCAAAACTAGTTATAATCGTGCCTTGCAAATGATAATCAGTGATTGTGCTTTCAATTTGGGAATTTCTTCGATTGAAATGATTTGTTGAATGTGCTAATCAAAATAAGTGATATCTTGCCTAGCAAGTGACAATCAGTGACATTTCATTTTGGAATTTCTTCGATTTAAATGGGTAGTCAAATGTGCTAATCAATATAAGAGATAATCAGTGATATTTTGTGCTTTTGTTTCAGAAATTTTCCTACTGAAATGATTAGTTCAATGTGCACAAAAGAAGTGCTAATTGTGCCTAGTAAATGATAATCAGTGATATTTTGTACTTTCATTTTTGGAATATCTTCAATTGAAATGTTTAGTTGGATGTGCTAATTAAATAAATGGTATAGTGCCAACTATTTAGATTAGTTTGTTCTTTTGCACTAAATGAAATCTCATCTGGAATGTGGCTTTGTTCTTTTGCATGTGGTTTATGTTGTTTGTCTTATTTGATTGATTCTTAGAATGAGTGGCGGGCAATTGGAGTTCAGCAGAGCAGAGGATGGGTGCACTATGCTATTCATCGACCAGAGCCCCATATCATGCTCTTCAGGAGGGCACTGAACTATCAGCAGCAACAAGAGAACCAGACTCAGCAAGTTCTGCTTGCCAAGTGAAGAAACATGTCTCTCGTTTCTTTTTCCTAATGAATCAGATCATATACAGATAGTAATGTTCATTTCATCTAGAAATGATATGATAGTTTTATGGATGTCTAGTTAAATGTCTGGATTTTTAAGGATGTTAAGTACTGTAATGCTTAGCTCTTGTGGAGTTCAGGTTTTGAATTCCCGTATTCTAAACAATCAGGTTTTATATCCGTGTGCTTGGAATTGGTACTCTTTGAAAGTCTCACTGGATGGATTCTGACCAGTTTGCATTTCTTTACTTTGGCATCATACATGTTGGATCTACTTGGTTCGTCATGTATTGGATGAGCTGCACGTTCTTTTAATTCTTGTGATGTTGACGCCCTACCTCTTTTTTGTTGGCATCTTTTTAGTCATGGTTGAATCACTTTCTGCATTTCAGATGCTGGATGTGGACCATGATTACTCAGGTATTGAATTTGTAGGAAATGTTATCATTGAATATTGATGTGGAGGACCACTCAACCTAGTTCTCATCTCTACAATTTTGTGAAACGATTACTCTTAACATGCCACATCTTGTTTATTTTACCATGTTACTGTGTTCTCCTGTTGACTTTTAACTAAGAGAAACTTAAGTCTTCATCAGTGTGTGCTGAGATGTCCTTTAACTAAGAGAAACTTGGTCTATATTCTCCAATTACGTCATACTGTTATAACTGGCCTTCTGCTGTTTTTTTTCTGAGCAAAGTTCACAATGCATTCCTTAGCTAGTGTTAGATCAAAGACTGGAAGAAATGTGTGATCTTGTTCTTCTATTACTCGATAGCATCAATTGCTATAAACGCCCTTCGCCCCTCCTTCCTCGTCCCTTACGAACTCAGATAATGATATGCTGATTGAATTTTACTTAGTTTCAGGCTTGGATTGATCTCTGATAATACTCTGTTTTGATTTATTAAATGAACTCATAATGTGAGTTGTAGAGTTCCAAGATTTTTTCAATCTGCTTTGAGATTTATTAACTGAATAAATTGTTAATCAAAACTACCAACAGATATTATACATCAATTGAAGAACAACATAGCATGTTACAACACCACTAGCAATTTTGCCATTTTTTTACATCAATAATTCTACATCAGAACTACACTAGGAAATTCAAATTACAGTTATTCAGAATTGATTTTTTTTTTTTAACCCTTCCAACAACATCATCAGTGTGATCCCATAATCGAGGTCTTGGGAGGATGAAAAGTAAGCTACGTTATCCCTACTTGGATGAGACAGAGACCATTTCCTATAGATGATCACATAAATGAGGCCTCAGGAGGGTAGAGTATATGCTAACATTACCCCTACCTTGGATAAGAGAGAGGCTAATTCCGATAGGAACTTGATAAACTAGGAGTTTAGAAGCTCTCTAAGCAGTGATGAACAAAGAAGAACTATGAACAGAAAGAAGGGAGAAGATATTATTCATTTTGGCTAAAATTTCAAACTACAAATTGAAGCATTCATCAATGCTTAATAGATTGAATTAGAAGCACCTAGAAGGTTCACATCACATGTGAATGATTCAACTAACTCTGCCATTGCACATGTCATCCTAAAAATCATCTAACGAACTTGTAACAATCCTAACAATGGCTTCTATACTCCGCTCCAACTGAGCTTCTGGAAACAATCTGTTGTTTCTTAGACTTCTAATACACCAAGACTCACCAAATACATAGCCTGTAATGGAACTTCTAGTGTTGGAGTCACACCAACATGTGAGCATAGTGGTAGGTTTCTTAGGCTTCCAAGACACCAAAGACTCACCAAACTTGACTACATAGCCTGTAATGGACCTTCTAGTGTTGGGGGACAAGCAGCCCAATCACAGTCACACCAACATGTGAACATAGTGATAGGTTTGGCCTGCAACCAACACTCTTTGACCTACTATGTCTTTTAAGCTATGGTACAAGGACCTGTAACTAAACTATACCTTCTCTTCCCTAATAATGCAATCCTCATCGACCTGCTCTAGATCCCACAATTCTCTGAACCTGTCAACTTAATGGGAATCAACACAGCTCCTGAAGCGTCTGACTGGCCAATGTATAAAGGAACAATCTTTGTGATCGCCATTGTTGCAATCTTCAACCACTTCAACTACATAGCTAAAGGATATCTAATCTAAGCTATAACACTACTCCTAGATAGCCAGGATCGAATGCGCTGATACCATGTTAAACTCTAGGCATTTGAACAAACGAAGAACTATGAACATTAGAAAGGGAGGAAGATATCATATTCATATTGTCTAAAATTTCAAACTAAAAATTAAAGCATTCATCGACTGAATTAGAAGCATCTAGAAGGTTCACATCACCTGTGAATTACTCAACTAACTATCTAAAATTCTCTCAATTCAACTAGTAATTTAATTGCTACTCCTTTGAACCTTCAACAACAACTTTCAAATTTTCATGATACAACTGAGTTTTATTCATCATAAGCTCAGATTCTTTCAATTTCAGCTCCATCCATTTCTCATTCATCTCCATCAGTTTCTTCTTCCCCAATTTCCTTAACCCTTCTTTACAATACTCATTCCTCTGAAACACCATTGTCATTTCATTCACCAAAAACGAAAAATCATCCAAATTCACATCTTCATCTTCATCATGATCTTCTTCTTCTACTACTAATAATTCCTTTCCCTTAGCTGCATTTCGACCCCAAATCTTTCGCCCAATTTCGTAAATCTCGCCGTCGTGTGGAGTTTTGATTTGGGATTTGGATCTAGCCAGCTTGTGGTACTTCTCTTTCAGTTTCTTCAGCTTATTCGCGATCTGTGCATCGGTGAAGTTTCCGGTACGGAGGCCGTTGTTGTTTGGGGATTGTGAGAGGGTTTTGAGGAGTGCGATTTCGTCGTTTTCGGAGAAAAGTCTGTGAGTTTCTGCAGATTTTGTGATTGTTTTGGTGATCGGTAGCGTTGAATTTTCCGGTGACTTGAGGGAGTTTGTACGGTGGTTCACGGCGGTGGTGGATTTTTCCCGAGAGCGTGAGTGGGTCATGGTTTTTTTGCCGATGTGTTTCGTAGTGAGTTAAATCTGGGAACGGTGAGATGGTGAACTTTTAAAGTGAAAAATTACACGTGTTTAACCTAGGGTAAGTATGATACGGTATCGTTTAATTTAACAGAGAAATATTGAAAACACTCCAAACGCGTTTAACCTATGGGTACATATGATACTTCACGATTTTGTCCCAATTTATGTGATATAATTTAATCTGATATAGGATTTAAAAGAGAAAAAGTATTGACAAAACTCTTATTTTGGATGTGAAGTTTTTTTAGTTTAATTCTCGAACTATAAGAACATTCGTTTATTTGACTAAATGAACTTAAATACACTCTTAATTTAGCATTATGAGGGAAATACGCCCCAAATTTTTTATCAAGTTTAGAGTGTTTTTAACACTTTTCTAGACTTTTTATTAAGAATTTCATGCTCATACATGAATTTGAGGCCTTTTGTTATATTATGTGGTAAATCAGAGTGTATCTAAGTTTAATTAGTTAAGTAAAAAAATATTTTTAAAATTGTCAATAATTTGAAGACGAAAATAATAATTTGTAGAAATGTTTTTAATATTTTTTCAAAAATTAAATTTGTGTTTTTAACCTGCCATGAGATTTATGTAGTTATAGAAATATATCATCTAGTGCAGAGATAAATTCAATTTTTTTTTAGGAGGATGCAGAGATATGTTCATGATTATGTTATAAAAATAATATTGCGAATGTTTATTATACAATTTTTTTGAGATAAGCAAGGAGTTTGCAAATAACTTAAACAAGCAATTCACAAGTAATTTCTTTGAGATCGAAATTAAGCAAATAGATTATAATTTACTCAAACATGCAAATTTGTAAGTGGTTTTAAAAAGTTTTAAACATCTTTTTGTTTTATATATATAAATAAGAAATCAATTCAATTTATTTTATATTATTAATACAAAGCTGAATAATATATCCATACCTCTTTATATGTCTTTATTATATTTACTTTATAGTCTTTAAAGTTTGAACTTTATAACTTTTTATAGAGTTTTGAAGTTAATATATATTAATTGTTTTTATGATTACATATTTATCATAAATAAGATGAATTTATTATAATAATAAAATATTCAATATATAATTTCATAAGTAAAATTTGAAAAAGATATGATGATATATGCACACGTTATTTATTTTTTAAACATCAAGATGTTATTTCCATTAAAAAACAATATACTTCTAAATTTAAAATAATTAATCTTGTACTTTTATTATTTATTACTGTATATAATATATGTATATATTCTTAATGAAATGTGAGAGTAATAAAATTGGAAAAATAGTTTAAGAAAAAAAAATATAGGGGAAAAGATAATGGTCCATTTAGCAAACAACATCAAAATTATCAAGCGGGTCGGGTACAGCCGATAGAGAAGAAGAGACCATCGGAGCCGAAAAAGCTTCAGTTCGCCGGCGATTGTTAGTCGGAGAATTCCATTTTCCCGGTTCCTCAGATTCTTCCTGGTAAAGTTTTATTTTTTCTTGGAATTCACTCTCCTACTAGGATTACGACTCTCGGAATTTATCATTCGGATAATCGTAGCTCAGTTGGTTGAGTATCTGAACTTTTTTACTTTTTGATCGTTTAGCATTTTTGGGGAAAATTGACATTTGATTGATGAAACTTTGTAGGCTACTACTTGTAATGTACTGAAATCATCAGAGGCGGATATAAGATTTAAACTTGATTTGAAATTATGAGTGTATAATATTTGGTGAATTTAACTTTGTGGGCTCCTTTCCATACCATTAGTCATAGTATTACTCTAGTAGTTTCTTACCTTTGTGTTTGGTTACCATTTGCTATTGCTGCTACTTCGGTTATCGTATTATCTTGTTGTCATTATTGTTCAGGAGTATACTATTTTGTTAGGGCTTCTTCATTTTTGTACTGTTTTTCTTCGTTGAGCTGAAGGTCTATCAGAAACCGTCTCTCTACCTCCGAGGTAAGAGTAATGTCTGCATATAGTCTATCCTCCCCGAACTCCACTTTGTGGGATTACACTGCCTGTTGTTGAAGTGTTTGTCACATGTTGAAAATACTGGGTTCGGTTTAATCTATAACTAGTTAAGCTACATAGATCATTTCTGAAATGATGCATTCAAGGTTTGGTGCCAAGATGCATTCTTTTTCTTTTTATTATGAATGAGATACCTAAGAGTGAATATTGACTATAGTGGCCACGACTACATTTTCTGATCCACAATATGCTTTCATTCATTTACCTGTGAGAAATATCTTTCTCGGTATTTTCTCTACATCATCAGTCAAGCCAGAACTGTAGTCCACTTTTATTTTTACTATAGATTTCTATAAACTTGGTAAATCCTGTTTTAAACTTACTAGTCCCTGCCTGCAAACTCATTCTGTATGTCGAAGACAACCTCCTTTGTTAACCAACCAAATTGTTGCTACTGTATTTTGTAGAGATTACCTTCCTCTGCATGGCTTGCTTTTCAAGACTTCGTTTGAATACCTCCATAACCATCTCCCGGATAGTGTTCGGTTAAAGATCTCTGTTCTATGAATACCCAGCTCGAGGTGACCTTATCATAGTTAACATGCTGGTGCTCTCCATTACTATCATCCTGTAACAAGTTCCTCATTAATTCCTACAGATGTCTAGACAAAAGACATAAGACCATGTGGTATACTTGATAATGTTGCTTCAATCGTAGTCCTTCCTTTAGAGAGGTATTGTTCCAGCCACCGCTCTAATCTCCTTTCTTACAAATCTCTAGTTTCGGAAGTTAACCATCCTTGAAAGTTGAACCTCCCTCCTAACAAGACCAATATTTGTGAAAAGTTCAACTACCTTGTGCGTTTTCACCTTAACAATGATGTGTATATTTGTGCACCTTCCAAACCGGTTCTTGCTTTCTCATGTTAATGCTCAAACCGGATACTGCCTCAAACTGTATTAGCATTTCAAACAATGCTTTGATTTGTTGAGATTCATTGGAAATTTGTGTCATTAGCAAATAAGAAATGTGTAATGCGTACGTCATCTCATGACACACCGCTTGTTCCAATGCCTCTCAAAATCTCTTTGGATGGTTTTTTTTTTTTTTAAAAAAAATTCTTATATGAATTTTGTCTGGGCCAGCTTGTATGCATCTCGACTAGTACATGGGTACCCGCTATTTCCCACAAGCATAGGTACCATTTAACTTTGCTAACCTAAGTTTAGTAGATGGAAAAAACACCTAGACTTTTTTGTCTTTGGGATATGGACACTAGTCTCCAAAGTTTGTTCCCACTTCATTGACCACTAGGCCACATCCTTTGGTGCTTCGAAGGCATTTTCCTAATAGCTTAATTAATAAGTCCATCAAAAATAGGAGTTATAGTGGGGATAGTGGATCCAAAATTGGGAGTTCTCAATCATGATGGGAATGGTATCAGTAGGTTGAGAGAGGTTCGCATTAGATGGAAAATCCCTTCCTTAGTATAAATTTGCAGATCGAATCCATAAGTAATATACACATTTTATACGATGTATGAAGCCCACTCGTGGAATTTCACTAAGTATGTTGTTCTTGTATACGATGTATGAAGCAACTGAATTATATTAATCATGCATGATAATGAATAGTTCAAAACTTTTTCCTTTGACAAGGAATATATAAATGTTTTCTTGTACTATTTAAAGTTTAGTCAATGGAATTGAGAATGTTTTGGTGTTTGCTCTGTATTATTATCTGTCCTTCAGTGAAGATAGATGGGGTATTCAGTATGGCTATATAACGTGTCATTGACGATGACGATGATGTCACACATCGCATAGGGGCTGCTTGGATGAAATGGAGGCTTGCTTCTGGAGTCTTGTGTGATAAGAAAGTTCCACCTAAACTTAAAGGTAAGTTCTACAGAGTGGTAGTTAGACCGGCCTAGTTGTATGGAGCGGAGTGTTGGCCAGTCAAGAACTCACATGTTCAAAAATTGCATGTTGCGGAGATGAGGATGTTGAGATGGATGTGTGGGCACACTAGGAGCGATAAGATTAGGAATGAGGTTATCCGGGAGAAGGTGGGAGTGGCCCCTGTGGTGGACAAGCTGAGGGAAGCGAGACTGAGATGGTTTGGGCATGTGAAGAGGCGGTGCGCAGACGCTCCAGTGAGGAGGTGCGAGGGGCTGGTGGTAGAGGGTACGCGGAGGGGTAGAGGTAGGCCTAGGAAGTATTGGGGAGAGGTGATTAGACAGGACTTGGCTCAGCTTCACATCACCGAGGACATGGCTCTAGATAGGAAGGAGTGGAGGTCGCGTATTAAGGTTGAAGGTTAGTAGGGTTAGCGGGTTGTCTTTCCTTGTGAGGGTATGGGTTGGTAGGGTTTGTAGTAGTCCTAGCCTGACACTTGTAGTTCTTGTCTGTGATCCTATAGTCATATGTTGTTTACTGCGCTTCGCCTCTCACAGTATTTTCTTGATGTTATTGTCTCCGTTGTTGATTATGCACTTTTTTTCTTATTGGATGTATGCTATATATAATATTTCCTCTTCTCTTGCTTGGTTTGGATGTACTTGAGCCGAGGGTCCACCGGAAACAGCCTCTCTACCTCCACGAGGTAGTGGTAAGGTCTGCGTACACTTTACCCTCCCCAGACCCACTTTGTGGGATTTCACTGGGTATGCTGTTGTTGTTGTTGTTGTTATATAACGTGTCATTGTCTCAGGTTAAAGTAGTGTGTTCTCAAAACATTCAGTATAAGAGATGTAAAGAGCCAAAATTTAGGTAAGATTGAAAAAATCCTTTCCCCAGTTCTTCTTCCTTGATACCAAATGTCCATGGGAATGTATTCTGTAACAGCTCATTCACTGTGAGTCTGTGACCATTCATGCCTTTCAGCCCAAGGTCAGACCACCAGCGCATCCTGACAAATGAGTAGCATCTCTGATGTTAGACCTTTTAAGTCCATATTGTCATTGACTTTGACATACTTTCACCTTTTAGTAAAGATGATGGGGAATAGCTGGCAGTCACCCTTGCTTGAGAGGTGGTATTAGGCAACTCAAGTTGTTAAGAGTTGTTCAACCTACTAATGACTTCTCTATGTGCATCAACCACAAGATGGTACTCTATTACTAACTTTGTCCCCCTGTACTGCTAAACACTTATATTTTCGCTATATTTCACCTAAAAAAGTTTACTTCTTAAAACTGTTGAAAGAATTGTCTTAAGGCAGTATATTGTTACTCTTTATCAATAAAAAGGACAAAGAAAGACAGTATTTTGTCCTAAGCTTTTCTGGGCCCATTAGAAAACTGTTTTAAGTTTGTCGTTTAGAATTTGATTTCGTAGGATAAACTAAAGCACAAAATATAACATAGAGAAATTAGAGTAGATATTATCTACTAATTGTATCTTTGACAAAGCATAGGTATATCATTTCTTTTAGCATTAGTACCCGCAGTTGTAGGTGATAAAGAATACAACCAATGGATTTTTCTGTCTTATGTTCTGATATCAATGACATGGCATTGGGAAATCATTCTCCTAAATCTGTAAAATTTGAATTCGATAAATTGACAAGGATTCTTCATATCAGAGCTCAATCGGTTACAACCCAATGGTTTATGAATAAAACCACTGTTGTCATTAGTAGTGACCGAAGGAGAAAGCCTCTGTCCCTGCATCACTTAGCAGCATGATACGTTGCAAATGTTCCTGAACGTAATCTTTTTTTCTTTTTTCTTTTGATAATGGTAACTGTAGTTCCTGAACGTAATCTTATTATTCATGACATCTTGGATGTCTCTTAACCATTATAAATATTGTTCAAGTCACCTTTGAACTGTTATGTATAGCAGAAAGATATGTTTAAGGGAACGTAATCCTACTATTCATGCCGTCTTTTACGTCTCTTAACCTGTGTGATATTGTTGGAGCAACCTTCAAACAGTTGTGTATTGCAGAAATATATGTTGAAGTTGTGCCTGAACGTAGTGCTATTGCCGTGTTTGACATCTCTTAACCTGTGTTCTCTTCTTTTTTCTTTCTCCCAGTTGTAGGATACTCAAACTTCCTACTTTATCTTCACTTGATGTCTCGGAAGCGTAATGTCATTGTTGCCACAGGCTTGCTAGTCTTTGCATCTGCTGGCTTATCCTTTCCGTTTTACATGGCGTAAGCAAAACTTGATTGCTTGTCAAAAAATGAAGAGGTGAACTTTCATATTATTTTGCTTAATTGAAAGTTATCATTGTTTCAATTCAGGTCAAGATCATCAAGGGCAACTCCAGTCATTGATTCATCAAAGCCATTGCCACCCCAGGCGACGTTTCGTGGTCCTTACATCAACACAGGATCGCGTGATATTGGACCTGATCATCAAACATACCCTAAGAAATAATATCTTTCTAGATTAGATATTAGTTTTGCTAGTTATTGAAGTCACTCTAGATTTCCCCTTTCTTTCTATTTAATGAAAAGAGATAATAACGAGAGTCTGTTGAAACTGGCTCAGGAGAAATTAGAATGTTTGAGAGTGATCCAGGAGCCCCCTAGCTGGCCTGGACACCATTGTTATCGAAAACTCTGGAGGAAATTTGCATGTTTGAGAGTGATCGAGGAGCAGATAGCTGGCTTGGACACCACTGTTACAAGAAAAATTGTTCTTTTAGAGATTTTCAGACATGTAAATGTGATGTTGCTTTATTGTTCACAAACAACAATATGTAATATGCTGCATGGCAGCTGGGCTAGAATTTTCTCTTAAAAGTTTGAAAATGAGGGTAAAAAGAAAGGGAAGGGAAAATTGATTCAACCCCCCCCGCCCCTTTTTTTTTTTTATGGTTTGGTTTAAATGGAAGAAGGCATGTTTTTCTTATTCTCTTTTTTAGATAACATCAAAATATGACAAATTGTTTTCCTTCTTTCCCACTTACTTTCATACCAAATTGAACTAAAAGAAAAGGAAACACACTTTAAACATTGGTGGGAAATTGGGAATACAACCACCTTAATGTTGAAGCTAGATTTATTTTTTTCCTGAATAGAAAAAGCAAAGAAGAAAATTGTTACTACTAGGGTGTGTTTACATATTTTCCATATTTGGTTGTTTAAATCTTTTAAATAAGTTCTAAAATTAAAGAAAATGGCTTTCTTATTATTGTAGTGTATTGTTAAATTTATCATTAGGTAATATGGAAAAAATTTATTTTGTGTAATCATCAATTTGGTGTGATTGTATTGTTATTTTATTTTTCTTCTTTCTCATTTTGTCATATACTTATTGTTTAATAATTTTATTTTATCTTTTTTCCTATCTTAGCTTTATCCTATTTTCGTGTAAGTTTATCCTTCAAATTATAGATTGTGACATTATATGACGATGGATAACGATACAATATATTCAAATATTAGTATATTTTTATTAAAATAAAATACAAAATAAGATAATATAATACATGATGATATGATATATTATGAAATTATACGAAATAGCTTGTCTAAATATAGTGATACAATATTTCAAGCTCATTATCTTCCTCTCCTTACTCCAAAATCATACTAGAAATATTATTATTATTTTCGAATTTTGAGTTGAAAGTGTTTAATAGAAATATTTACCATTGACATTTAACCATTGATTTTATCTCCTCTCTACTTTCACAATTTTTTTTGTTTCTCATATGTTGTGTAATATTCATATTAGAGTCTGAACAAATCTAAATTTGTGTAGAAAAATCTCACATTAAAAATAAATAGCCCTCTAACAAAGACGACTTCGTAATTAAGGTAGTCAAACCAAAAAACTCTAACAAGATGAAGGAGTATTTACCACTCCACTCATCGTTTCTTCTTCTTCCTATAGCTCCACCACCACAACTTTCATTTTCTGGGGCCTCCCTCACAAACATACTTCCAGAAAACTCATCAAATTCAATTCAACACATTGTTCATATCTTGCACGCATATCCTTCTTCTTCTTCACTTGAACATTTATGTAGTAGTAACTCAAACAAATAAAATTGATTAGCTCAATTTTCATCAGTAACTCAACAATGGTTTCTTCTCTGTTGGTACTATCTCCACTACCAACTCCTCAAATTCTTTCAATTTCATCTTCCTTACATTCTTCTCTACCTTCAATCCCTTTCAAACCACACAATTTTCTTAGAATTAGAAGAAGAAAAAATAGGCCAATTTCATCTCCTTTTAGAGTAGCTGCACCCCCAACAACAACACCTTTTTCAGCTACTGAAGAAGAAGAGGAAGAACAAAACCCAGATTCAAAATCTAGTGATATTGAAGATACACAAAATGATGAACAAGATTCGTCCTCGAAATTCTCTTGGAGAGATCATTGGTACCCAGTTTCATTAGTTGAAGATCTCGACCCGAGTTTACCCACACCATTTCAGCTACTTAATCGTGATGTAGTTATCTGGTTTGATAAATCTGGGTCTCAGTGGGTTGCTTTAGATGACAAATGCCCTCATCGTCTTGCTCCTTTATCTGTACAACTCCAATCGACCCACTTCTCAATTTTGCTTCAAAATGAGTCAAAAAATACACCTATATATCCCGAATTTTTTGAGTTTCATATCTGAACTATCACGGGTACGAGCTTCCTATAATTGGTGATAGTTCAGTATGAAACTCGAAAAAATTGAGATACTTTATATGTGTTTTCGACCCTTTACTCCTATAAAGTTGAAGAAAAAAAGGGTTTTGATATATGGGTGTTTTTTTATTTTTGTTTGTAGGAAGGGAGATTAGATGAAAATGGGGATTTGCAGTGTTCATATCATGGATGGTCATTTAATGGATGTGGTTCTTGTACAAGGATACCTCAAGCTGCATCTCAAGGACCTGAAGCTAAAGCTTTTCAGTCTCCAAGAGCATGTGCTACTAGATTTCCAACTATGGTTTCTCAAGGATTACTCTTTGTTTGGCCTGATGAAAATGGTTGGGAGAGAGCTCAGGCAACAAAGCCACCTATGTAAGTTTCTGTTGATTCTTGAGTAGTTTATTAAACTAATACTCTGATTGTTTAGTAATCATGTGAAGTTAGGTTATATTATACTAATTGATTATCTTTACTATATAGTGACTTAGTTTATATTATACTAATCAGTGAATGGTGATCTTTACAATTGTGACTTAGTTTATATTATACTAATCAGTGAATGGTGATCTTTACAATAGTGACTTAGTTTATATTATACTAATCGGTTATCTTTACCATAGTGACTTATTTATATTTATACTAATCAGTTATCCTTACTATAGTAAAAAGGGGAAGCCCGGTGCACAAAGCATCCTATATTTACGCAGGCCGCACCCTAAGGGGTGTGATGTAGACAACCTACCAAGCATTAGTGGTTGCTTCCATGGCACAAACCATTATCTTTATATTTGTACTAATCGGCTGTCTTTACTGTAACAACTTATATTATTGTACTTATCAATTATCTTTACTATAGTAAGTTTATATTTATAATAATCAGTTGTCTCTACTATAGCAACTTAGTTTATATTATACTAATCAATTATCTTTACTATAGTGGCTTAAGTTTATATTATACTAATCGGTTATCTATACTATAGTGGATTAAGTTTATATTACACTAATCAGTTATTTTTAGTATAGTGACTTGTTTAAAATATTCTTCTTATTTTATTGAGCTATTGTTCGATAACGAGGCTGATTTGGTGCGCTGAGAGGGTAGCTCAGTTGGTTGAGGTCCTTCATGTGTGGTTGAAGGATCAAATCTCATTCCCCAAAAAATAATTTTGAGAATGCATTGATCAAGATAATGAGGCTGTTTTGGTTTATATTATAATTGGTAACCTAAGTATATACTTTTAGTGGATTTAAAATAATTTTGATTAGTTGTTTGATGGGATATTTCTAGGTTGCCTGAAGATTTTGACAAGCCTGAGTTTGCAACAGTGACAATTCAGCGTGATCTGTTTTATGGCTATGACACTCTCATGGAGAACGTCTCCGATCCTTCTCACATTGATTTTGCGCATCACAAGGTACTTTTTGCAACTTTTTTGTTCCCTTTTGGCTTCTAATATAATTAAGAATCCACTTTCAGACCCAAGGTTTTTTCTACTTCTTCCATAATTAATTATCAAGTTGACTAAGCTATGTGTTAGTACTCAAACTCAGCGTGACTACTTTACAAGTGTAGATCAAATTTCGCTCTACTACTTGCACGTTAAGTTGAGAATAACTATAGTATTAGACAACCATGATATGTTGTTCAAGCTAGTAAGATAGCTCAAGCTGAAGTGAGTTCAACTAATTTGCAATATGGAGCCTAGCGCAAACTGGTTACTAACCTTGATTTGGGCCTTCAGAGAAAGACCAAAGATTAGCTCAATCGGCAAACTGAAGCTCTTAACTGTACAAACTTATTTTTTCCACTATTTTAGATAGCCACTCCCAAATTATGCAATAGAGACTCCTTCCGTAGCACTATAGTTGATCTGCTATATTAGCCGAAGATTCTAAAAAGAATATCAATTATCAGGGATACATTTTAAGCTAATGGGTAAAAGGGAGGTAATCTTTTGATTAAGTGCTATGAGATCATTGAGACAGTGTTTTGTTGTTGATTGAACTTTTAGATAAGACACCATCCCATTCAAAGAGAGGGGCTTATGTAAGTTTACTATATAGAATGTGGTGTATTTAGTTGGGGACTTGGGTCTAAACAACTAGATAACTGAAAAAGGAATAAATAAGTGATGCCTGTAAACTTGGATAGAATATTGATCATGCAAGACTCAGCAGAGATATGGACGTGACGTCAGGCTGGTGAAAGGCGTGTTAGTTACTGTAGCCAATCAGAAATGGGAATTGATAAATCAGAGAATGTTGGTGGGGTTGGACAGAGAAGTCAAGAAGCGCAATAATCAGATATGCAGGAAAGGGACTTCTTCTTTTCTCTTCTGTACATATGCATCTCTTTGGGAAAAACAGTTCTACTCCATCTTGACTAGCAATAGCATTAAATTGGTCAAGAAGCACAATAATCAGTTACATTTATTACTAATGAAGCTGTCAATCTTATTATCTATCTTGTGTCTCTTAAAACCCGTGGTCATTCTCTATTGTTTAGGACCAAAATTGCCCTCAAGTTCCTAAAACAAGCTTGACTAGCAATAGCTTGTGTTCAAACTGTTTTACATGTGAAGAATGTGCTTTTTGAGCTTCTGAGACAAGTAGCTCGCTGTGCTTGGCCAAAACATATATGACGCATTTAAGGTCGTTCCTTGGAGGATTTTCTCTTTATATGGAACGGATGGTATAAAGGTTGTTACTTTTGAGTGTTGCTCATTGTTTTATACAAATTTTCATAACCTTACTTTATGTGCAATTATTAGGTAAAGACATACTTGGAGAGCAATAGGTAGAAGTATACCACGGGAATCTTAACTATCACTCTATGACTTCAGTGCTACTTTTATCAATTTATGGATAGTTTTTCGATCTTACCATCTTAAAAGATGAAGCTGACAGGATTAGGCTCTCCAGAGTCTGGATGCTGAACAGCATGCTTTGACTCGGATGTTGTTTCATATTCAGCTGACAGGATTAGGCTCT